TATTATTTTAATTCCACAGCAGAGAAAGTTATGTAGTCTCTGTAAGTAGATCTAGGGGAAAAAATATCGTTATTGGTATCGGTTACCGGCCAAATAAGTTTTAACATATTGAATATCGGCCAAAAATCCAATATCGTGCATCCCTAATATTTTCTGTCACCACTGATTTGTGTTTGTTGTGTTTCAGTCGCTGAAGGAGACCTCTCAGAGTAACCCGTTCTCCCGGGTGTGGTGGTACAGACTGTTTCAGTTTTTTGAGGAAAACGTGCATGGTACAGTCCCTCGAAGCTATCAGCTGCCGTTTTCGTGGCGAACATTGCACTGGAGCCGTAGCGTGATGTACAGCAGACTGGACATTCAGTGACGCACCCCCCTCCCCTCATCAGGGTTCAGGCGAGGCCTAAGACTGAAATAAGTGCTGTTTTAATTGATGGAGGGCAACACGTTCGCTGTAGCACTGTCCTCCTCACCTTTACTACCAGACTCATCCCTGTCTAAATGAGTAGCACTGTGACTGTCAGGAATTTAGCTTTTCCTTCTCCATCCGCTGTTATCTGTAAATACAGAACATTAATTTATTTTTCATTTTAGCATCATGGGTCACAAACATTTCTGTTTTTGCAGCAAAACTGAAGCATTTCATCCAACTTGTAAAATTAAGTTTTTGTCAGAATGCGTTACCCTCTCAGCACAGACGTGTCAATGTTTTCATGTTTTTAGATTTGTTAGTGCAGTTTGGGTCAAAGAGGTGATCATTTGAAAATGACAATGCCATAAACATTCTTAATTCTTTTTTTTAAAAATATATATAGCAACTTTTGATAAACTCTCCTTGCTTAGATGAAACAAAGGTGCAAAGATAATATTTTTTCTAAATATCTCAAACTTTATTTTTCAAAAGTGAAGGATCTCCAACAAAAGATTTTAAAGTTTTTATCTTTTTCAAGACAGATGAAGGAGAGCATAGGAATCTCATTAATGCAGTGCCTTTCTTAGCTTGATTGTGAAGCAGTTCAAGTACAACATGTGTTGTGTGTCAGTGTTGTGGTGCCCCGCCGTGCCGCAGCCCGGTCACAGTGTCGTCCCCATGAATGTATAAAACAACAACGCTGGCCTTACCGGAGGATTGGTCTTCCCAAATGTTCAGTAAGTGCAGTGAGCGAAATGTCTTGTCAAACGATGCTTTGAGACGTCAGTTGGTGCTCACTTGGTTTGTGCTGTTTAACAGAAAGACATGACTGTTAATCATAATTTATGTCGATAACATTTCATTTACTTCAATTAGTCTTAACCTGCACCAGCCGTGTTTTTAAATCCAGAGCCCGACGTTGCCGTGGGTGTCTAATTTTACTTGCAACAAATCTGAAATCATCCCTTTCTAATCAGACATCTGATATGGAGCAGGTGCAGAGATACGAGTTTTTATTTTTCAGCTTCCGCTTTTGTTCCCCAGCCTCCTTATTGGCTGACTTCAACACCTTAGAGACATGCAGCGCAAAAAGTTTGTGCTTAAAAGCATAAAAACAAGCTTCAGGCAAAGTTTCTAAATGCATCTGAAGTCTATCCTGCAGTTTGAAGACACGACAAACTGCAACACCAAACTCCTCTTACTAACACTCGCTGTGCTGCTCGTTTGTAGGAATAAGCTGAACTTGCTGGTGCACAGAGCAGATGATTAATTTAGCCAAAAGTGTTTGGGAAAAAAATGTATTTTTTTAATGAATGTGAAAATGCATCATGTATTTTTGCTCAATTTCAATCATGTATGTATTTTTTGCTCTTTGTTTCTCTTTGTATAATGACTGAACCATATAGAGTATTATTAGTTTATGTAGAGGGATGAACGTCATTTCAAGCTGAATTCAGTGTCTGATGATAAAATGCACTGATGTTCCACCACAAATTTCATATATTAACAGTAATTATGTAATAAGCTTCTTTAAACTGCTAAAGATGAGAAAATAACATTTTCATGTGAATCTGTGAAGATATTATTCAATGCCAATGGTCATCTTAATATTTGAGACAATAAAGTAAAGCTTTTCACTTCTCATAGCTTTGTTTACTTTGAAAACATTTGTTCTTTTTACATTTTAAGAGCAAAGTAGGTTCTCTACAATTGGACATGTTTTATTCAAGGTGCTGTTTGATCTAAACAGCTCTTTAATTTAGTCTGAAAGCTTGAATTAGTTTGCCAAGTTTTTTTTTTAATTTCCTTTTTAATGCATTTGTCCCTTTAAAAATAAAAAAGATGGTCGTTTTTATATCTTTCTGTAAAGTATTTACCAATTTTGTTTCCCCTTTGTGTCTAAAAGAGATGTTTGTAAGATGTACTAAAGGAATCTCCTTTGAATGTTTTTTGAATAAAACATTTTACAACAGTGTGTTTGCTTTAATATTATGTTTCCTTCACTTTGATGATGTCATGGCAGACTCACCAACAGCCAATAGATGGACACATTGAGTCGTTTAGGAAGTCAGATTAGTTCATCCATCCATCCATTATCTTTACCCGTTTATTCCATTTTGGGTCATGGGGGTCACCGGTGCCCATGTCCAGCAATCACTGTGCCAGGGGCGGGGTACACCCTGGATGGGTCGCAAGTCCATCACAGGGCCACATAGAGACAAACGAGACAAACAACCATTCACTCTCACCTAGGGACAATTTAGAGTTACCAATCAGCCTAACATGCATGTTTTTATCTGTGGGAGGAAACTGGAGCACCCGGAGAAAACCCACGCATGCACGGAGAGAACATGCAAACTCCACCCAGAAAGGCCCCTGAACCGGGGTTTGAACCAAGGACCTGCTCGCTGAGAGGCAGCAGCTCTACCAGTTGCGCCACCGTGCTGCCCCAGATTAGTTCATCTGACTCTTATTTCCTTCCTCACTTTAGGTTTCTTGTTAACCTTCCAAACATTTACATTTCATGAGCAAGTAAAATATCTAACATCCAGCTGTTGGTAATTGGCCAGTTTGGCAAACTGAGCTCTTCAGATAAACACACACCACCTGCACACACTTGCATGGAGGCCCGCGGTCACTGCAGTGGATGGAGACTCACGGGTGGTGTTTCAGGTGGTGCTTTGTGATTACCGGTACCACAAATTCAAAGGTCCTGAAAGCAACAGGTAACTTAAGCTGCTAAATGCAGCACAGGGCTCATCAGCTTGTGTTAGGGTTACTTTTAGTTTTGCGAATGTGCAACAGTTGAAAAGAGGTGAACAACGTTACTACAGTTGTGATCAGCAACCAGGAAAAGATGGTAAAATGGGCAGTATACTAACATTTTACCTCCCTCTAGTGACGAGTCTAGTCTGTGTTGTGTGTGTTCAGACTGTTAGCAAAATAACTCATGAGTCACTGCACTGATGTTCTTGAAACTTTCAGTATCAAAGTTCATGCTCAATAATCCAGGAAACAAAAAATCCAACAATGTTCAGTCAGGTCATCTGGACAGTTTTTTTTTGGAAATGTTTCATCCTTCTTCCAAAGGATTTCATCAGTCAGAGGAGCCACAACAAACTTGATTCCACAAGCAGCCCACTCTCATAGTGGAGCAACATGTTGAAGTCCTTTGGATGAAGGACGAAACATCTCAACAACAACAAAAAAAAAAACGTCCAGATGACCTGATTGAACATTGTTGGATTTTCTACCTGGATTACTGAGCATGAGCTTTGATGTTTTGAACCACTTTGGCTACGGCTGCCTCAGAGGAGTCGGCAGGGGAGAGGGCGGGCCTCAGAAACCATCTTATCACCAGCAAACTGGTTGGCCCACTATGAGTGTGCTGCTTATGGGATTGAGTTTGCTGTGGCTCCTCGGACTCGTGAAGTCTTTTGTATGAAGGACAAAACATCTCAACAACAACAACAACAACAACAACAAAAAAAACATCCAGATGACCTGACTGAACATTGTTGGGTTTCACTAAGTAATAATTGTATGTGCTTCTACAACTGATGAACTTTTGGAGTCGATCCAATTCAATAGCCAGCTCACCTTAGGGACTATAGCTTTGTCAATTAACCAGATAGTTAGCTGAAATGTGATGTGGGAGCAGCTGAGAGTTGTTCACATCACAACACATACTCTGGTTTTGTCTGTATAGTAAATAGGGAAACAGGCACAAACCAACAGAGAGCATGATGCAGCAACATGAAACATAACTGCATCACCACCAGATGAACGTTCTTTGTCCTGAACAAACCTAATTTGCACCAATGTCTCTCCTGAGTTCAGGTTTATTGGCTTGTTACATATGAAGACTGCAAATAATAATTTTATTTGCTTAGTCTACTGCAGGCAAAACGCACACAAGCTGATCAAATCCGTCCAACAACAAAATTAATCCTTGTGGTAAAATAACACCGTGACAAGTGCAAAAAAACTATTCTTTAAAAAGAATATATCAAGGATATTTGGACTTTTCTTAATTTGATTATGTCTTATTAAATAAACAACAAAAGAAAACGTAGAACGTTCAGTTATCAATTCAATCCACAGGGGTGCAGGAGTCCCAAATAAACTACTTGGATCACATGAGGTTTGGTGATGAGACTTTAGCTTCAAGCTTGATGTGGAGAGCTCTGCAGACGTTTGCCAGAGAGGAGCAAGAGGTCCTGATCATTCTTCGGTCAAAAAAGAGGGGCATGTGTTTATTTTTGTGCCGGCTCCTCAGTCCACTGGAGATTTTGTTGATACCCTGGAGAGATGTGTCCAGCCAAAGCCAAAATCCCACACACTACTAGCACAAACTAAAACAAGCAGAGGGAGGAGACAGCTTGTGCTCCGAACATCTTGTAGTTTCAGCTGACTTCGTTAAGCAGGCCAGAAAGATGCTTTCAGGACAGCTAATGAAAATGAAATTATGCAGGCTGAAAACACCAAGTGGTCATTATTATTGTCACCTTAAACTTGATTCAAAAAGATAAACTGGTGATTTTTGAAGGTATGCTTTATCAAAATGGTCCTCAGTCAGAAAAGGCTGAGCCTCCCTGCTCAAGCTGCTATGTGACTGACTTTGGAACAAGAGGAAGATGATTGATAGATGGATGGATGGATGGATGGATGGATGGATGGATGGATGAAAAGTATATGTCAGTAGTAGCCTACCTTAAGAATAGTAACATCAGTCACCTGTATAAAAATAAGGTTGAATGAATGGAGCACAGTCTTTGTCCAGGCTAGGCTAATGGCTAGCCACACAAGAGTTCTTTATTTCTTTCCCAGGCTTCTAAAACTGTGTTTTGCAAAAGTGTTGAACTTTAGTTTAAGCTAATGTAGACTTCTTTAAGGCTCATTTTTTTTAAAAGATACACTTGAAAAAACAATGTCAAATGGACCCTCACTTTATTGGCTTTTAGCTTAGCTTGGACAAAAACATTATGCCCTCTTTCTCTGCATTTCATGTCCTTTGACAACTGATGAAGTGCACCTGATAACTATTACTACTAGGGAGGCTGTCAAGCTGAAGAAGGAGCCCTTTCGGTCCTTGTTGGCCAGTGGGACTATGGAGGAAGCTGAGGAGTACCGGAGGGCCAAGCGGTCCACAGCCTTGGCTGTTGCTGAGGCAAAAGCTCGGATGTTGGAGGAGTTTGGTGAGACCTTGGATAGAGCCTCTCAGTTGGCACCAAGGAGAGTCTGACAAACCATCAGGTGGCTGAAGAGTGGAAAGCAGCACTTTACTAACACTGTGTTCAGTGAAGGTGAGGTGTTGTTGACCTCAACCAGTGATGTCGTCGGGAGGTGGAAGGAATACTTTTAAGACCTTCTCAATCCCACCAGCACATCTTCCATGGAGGAAGATGAGTAGAAGGGGACTTTGGGGTTGATCTGTACATAACTGTGGCTGAGGTCGCCGAGATATTTAAAAAGCTCCGAGACGGCAGGGTTCTGGGAGTGGATGAGATTCATCTTGATTTCCTTAAGGCTCTGGATGTTGTGAGACTGTTTTGATTGAGACGCCTTTGCAACGTCACATGGACATCGGGGGCAGTGTCACTGGATTGGCAGTCTGGGGTGGTGGCTCCCCTCTTCAAAAAGGGGGATTGGAAGGTGTGCTCCAATTACAGGGGCATCAATTTCCTTAGCCTCCTTGGTAAGGTCTATTCAGGGGTACTGGAGAAGCGAGTCCGATCGTTGGTCGAACCTCAGATCCAGGAGGAACAATGTGGGTTCCGTCCTGGCCGTGGAACACTGAATCAGCTTTTTACCCTCACAAGAGTCCTCGAGGGATCATAGGAGTTTGTTCATCCAGTCTACATGTGTTTTGTGGACTTGGAGAAGGTATTTGACCGTGTTCCTTGGGGTACACTGTGGGGGGTGCTCCGTAAGTATGGGATTGGAGGTCCGTTTTTACGGGCTGTTCAGTCCCTATACAAGTCGTGCGAGGGTTTGGTTCGCATTGCCGGCAGTAAGTCGGACCCCTTCAGGGTGAGAGTTGGAGTCCGCAAGGGCTGTCCATTGTCACAATTCTGTTCATAACTTTTATAGACAGAATATATTGGTGCAGCCAGGGGGCGGAGGGTTTCCGGTTCAGTGGCCTCA